GAATTCCAATACACCCAGAGGGGTGGGGGAAAACCAGGGTCAAGGGTAACAATGAATGATGTGTCTCAGAGTCAGCTACACACAGGCAGTGCCGGACAGTTTAATTCCCAATAAATCCTTTTTAACTTTTGGAAGTTTGGCTCGAGACTCATGATTTAAACGGGGGTAACTGCTGGACAATCCCCTTTTGCGAACTTTTGAAAAGCGAAGTCAATGGGGAAGCCAGATTCAATTAACAACCACGTTAGTAACTTAACAACTGCATGATTCACATAACAACTGTGGCAGGAAAAGTAAAATGGGGGCAAAACTCACTAACTCTCTCCCTTAGCAACAGAAATTTTGGGACTCAGTTGTAGGTGTAAATAGAGAACTACCTGTACATGTATATGCATTCACACCCAATACACAGAGGTGATTATGGATCCCAGATATTGAGAATCTGGTAGAATACAGCCATGCAGAACTCACCACTTCCAAAGCTAACATCAATATAGTTCCTTGTAAATAAGTTAATCTCATACTATAGAGTAGATTAAGGATCAACGCAATAAAAATGGAAAATTCCAGCAGTTATTGCTGCTCATATATCAAACTTCCAAGACCTTTGAAGCTGATATGATAAAAATAATTATCTAACATGAAAGATGAAAGTCTAGTGAATGGGTAAACATCCAGGTTTCCAACAAGCTAATATCATTAATAATCACTGATACAAACACTCACACATGAACAAAACTGGGAGAACAGAATCGAGAATGGCACCCATCTCTTTCTCTCTCATTCACACATACAAAGACATAGAGTAATCTTCCCCAGAGCACTGCCTACACAGCAGAGGATATTCAGCAGGTTCTGACCAGTTCTGGAGAACAGGTAGCGGAAATTTTGAGTAGTTCAAAGAACCGGCAAATACCACCTCTGACTGGAGATTTTACCGTATCCTTCCCCCGCCACGCGCACCAAGCCACGACCACAGAACCTATAGTTAAAATTTTTGAATCCCAGCACTGCCACACAGCCTGTAACAGGGGTATCAAATTCGATCCCACTTGTGACTGTATGACTGTAACTTTGTCGCTTGTATCCTTACGATATATATTGACTGTTTCCTAATATGATTTGATTGTTTATTAATACCCTATGACTATTATTAAGTGTTGTACCTGATGATTCTTGACTCTTGATGAATGTATCTTTTCTTTTATGTATACTGAGAGCATTTGCACCAAGGCAAATTCCTTGTGTGTCCAATCACACTTGGCCAATAAAGAATTCTACTCTATTCTATCCTGTTGGAGGCCACGTCGGGATTTTGTTTGCCCTTGGGGGGCGTGGGGGTGTGGCCTGGTCATCGTGGCTGACATGGCCAGGGCAGCAGGGGCTGGTCCCTCGCGGTCTCCAGGATGTCCCTGTGGGCCAACTCCGCAGCCTATCGCAGGCTGGATGAAACCCATGGGCCATAATTTTGGCACGTCTGGTCTATAAAATGTGTATGTAAACATGTATATGAGTATCTGTTACAGGTGTGCTCAGTCCCACTTTTTCCCTCTAGCCCTGTTATCAAAAATCCAAAATCAACTTCTCATAATATTCCTTTGCTCATAAAGTCACTGAGCCAAACTTTACCGCAATGTATAATTTACAGGTAATCCTTGACTTACGACCACAATCGAGCTTCAAATTTCTGTTGCTAAGGGAAACATTTGTTAAGTGAATTATGCCCCGTTTTATGAACTTTCTTGTCACCATTCTTAAGTGAATCCCTGTAGTTGTTAAGTTAGTAACCCAGTTGTTAAGTGAATGTGGTTTTCCTTGTCAACATTGCTTGTCAAAAGGTGAACGCTCTGGGTCAATGCAACCGTCGTAACTATGTACCAGTTGCCAAGCATCCAAATTTTGATTACATGGCCATAGGGATGTTGCAATGGTCATTAAGTGTGAAAAATGGTCATAAGTCACTATTTTCAGTGTCGCTGTATCTTTGAACGAACTGTTGTAATACTAGCTGTATTTCCCACCCTGCAAGTCTTCAAGAGTCATTTTTCACATAACTTGAATTTCAGATACTGACAAATGAACTGACAAATGAATTGACCAATGAAAAAGACCACACCTGATTAGAGAGCAAGAAAAAAAAGAATATTTTAAGAATGGGATTTATGTTACCAATGGTTAGATAGAAAAGTAGGAAATTGAAGTATAATTCAATAGCAATGATATGTTATAATTGATTATTATAGAATGAATTATAATATGCATTAAAATAAGTATGAATTGAGATTTGCTCTAAAGGATAACGTGGATTTGAAATTAAAGTCTAATGATGTAATAACATGACATGCAAAGTTGACTAACGTAATGTGAATGTAAATTTAAATCTAAGAGGAAAAGATTACAGATTTTCTGCACAAGAAATATTTACCTACCAACACACTGTATAATTGAAAGAAGGTTTTATTGTTTTATGTTTATGTTTGTCTTTGTTTATTGTTAAAAATAAAAATATAAAAAAAAGAAAAGAAAAAGAAAAAGACCACACCTGGAATATTGCATTCAGTTTTGGTCACCACACTATAAAAAAGATGTTGAGACTCTAGAAAAAGTGCAGAGAAGAGCAACCAGGATGATTAGGGGACTGGAGACTAAAACATATGAGGAAGCTGGCATGGCTAGTCTAGTGAAGAAAAGGACCAGGCGTGACATGATAGCAGTCTTCCAATATTTCAGGGACTACCATAGAGAGGAAGGAGGTCAAGCTATTTTCTATGGCACCCAAAGGGCCAGACAAGGAACAATGGATGGAAACTGATCAAGGAGAGATTCAACCTGGAAATAAGGAGACATTTTCTGACAGGAAGAACAATCAACCAATGGAACAGCTTGTCTTGGGTGCTTCATCACTGGAGGCTTTCAAGAAGAAACTGAACTGCCATTTGTCAGAAATGGTGCAGGGTCTCCTGCTTGGGCAGGAGGTTGGACTAGAAGACCTACAAGATCCCTTCCAACTCTGTTAATTCTGTAATCTGTCTCCTGCTTGAGCAGGAGGTTGGATTAGAAGACCTCCAAACTCCCTTCCAACTCTCTTATCCTGGAAGAACTGTACAAGTATTTGTAAGGAAAAGCCTGGCAAAACCATTTGTTCCTTTTTAAAATGCTGCATTCACTCGATTGATTTACATGAAATTGCTTTTCAATTTGGTAGCTACCCTGAGTAGAAGAGAAATAAATTGGCAAAACACACCCATCCCAGGTGGCCCACAACATTTGGTAGATAAAACTAGCCCAAGTTTTAGTTCTGTATTGCATGCTTCCTGCATTAAAAAAAAAAGTTATTCAAAAGAGCTGACAAGTCAGAAGTATCTTTCCCCCTTCTTGAAAAAAAAATAAAATAAAAAGTGATGACTGATGAATTATCAGCCTGCCTTGCTTGCAAACGCACTTTTCCAAAAGATAGGGGAAGTTTCACTCCAAAGTACATATAGTATTTACACACACTATTCTTCCTTATGTAACCAACGACAGAACTAAATAATCACCAGAAGCATGCAAAAAATAAATAAAATAAATCAATGCAGGCAATCCTCGACTAATGACTGTAATTGAGCCTGTGATTTCGGTTCTAGATTGTGATGGCTATAAAACAGGTCACCATGTACAAAAGATTGTACAGCCTTTTTCACAGTGGTTATAAAATTAATACAGTGTTTGTAAAACAAATACAATGGTCGTTAAGTGAACCCAATGATCACTATGGGACAGTTTTCGCTGGGAAAAAAGTTCCATAAATTGAGATCATATGACTGGAGGGCACTGCACATGGCCGTAAATGCAGGTCAGTTGATGGGTGCCCCAAATGCTGTCACATAACCACAGTAGTGTATATTAGTGTAGTGTAGTGTATATACACAGTAATGTATATTAGAACTTCAAATTTGGGTCATGGGTCCCTCTTTTGGGGGTCCATCATAACTTTGAACAATCTGGAATTAAACACACTCAAAACCATAGAAATGGTGGTAGAGTTTAGGAGAAACCCTCCCATACTACCACCTCTTACAATACTTGACAACACAGTATCAACAGTAGAGACCTTCAAATTTCTAGGTTCTATTATATCACAAAACCTAAAATGGACCCCTAACATCTAAAACGTCATTAAAAAAGCACAACAAAGAATGTGCTTTCTGTGCCAACTCAGAAAGCTCAAACTGCCCAAGAAGCTGCTGATCCAGTTCTATAGAGGAATGATTGAGTCTGTCATCTGCACCTCTATAACTGTCTGGTTTGGCTCTGCAACCCAACAGGACAAACACAGACTTCAGAGGAAAATTAGGACTGCAGAAAAAACAATTACTACCCACCTGCCTTCCATTGAGGACTTGTATAGTGCACGAGTCAAAAAGAGGGCTGTGAAAATATTTACAGACCCCTCACATCCCGGACATGAACTGTTTCAACTCCTACCCTCAAAACGACCCCATAGAGCGCTGCCCACCAGAACAACTAGACACAAGGACAGTTTTTTCCTGAACGCCATCACTCTGCTAAACAAATAATTCCCTCCAGACTGTCCAACTATTTACAAAGTCTGCACTACTATTACTGTTAACCTTCTCATCACTCCTTATCACCCATCCCCTCCCACTTGTGACTGTAACTTTGTTGCTTGTATCCTTACAATTTATATTGACTGTTTCCTTGTATGATTTGATTGCTTATTGTACCCTATGACTATTATGAAGTGTTGTACCTTATGATTCTTGACTCTTGACGAATGTATCTTTTCTTTTATGTACACTGAGAGCATTTGCACCAAGACAAATTCCTTGTGTGTCCAATCACACTTGGCCAGGAAAGAATTCTATTCTATTCTATTCTATTCTATTCTATTCTATTCTATTCTATTCTATTCTATTCTATTCTATCTCTTTGCTGCCACCAACAGGACACCTGGAGGAGTGAAGCTTAGGTCATCTAGCCAGGGAGTTGGGTCAAACCTTGTTGAGTTGGGGATTCCTGGTGATGTCATAGCCCCGTTTCTTAATCCCGGTGGCTTTGGTGGCTGAAGGAGGGCACTCTCTGGAAGAGCAGGACCTGTTGGTGGGCAAAATGCCAACTTGGAGCCCGGGCGTGACCCCCAGCAGTCGAAAGAGGCTGCCCCCTCCTCTGCTTCTCAAGGACTTCAGCATCATGGATGGGAGGGAATCCTGCCTGGAGGAGATGCGGCACCTGCCCGGTTTGGGAAGAAAAGAGAAGAGAGGTAAGCCAAACCCAGAGAGAGGTGGGATTGGCATGGGAGGTCCGGGAAAGGGCAGGAGGCTCAAAGGAAGGAGGGAGGGGAGTCATCTGCAAAGCAACCCGCGGCATCCGGCCCCTAAAAGCCCAGTCAAAGCAAAAGAAGAGCTGGATCTTACTTCCGTTCCTAAAGCGCTTTTCCTTTAGCCGGGATCGTCAAGGAAAAAAGCCAGCTGGGAGGGAAGGCGATTTTAGGAAAGCGAAAGGAAACCCCAGGAAGCAGATCGGTGGCCGCCGATCTTGGCAACCCGAAGACTGGCATTGGCAGCCGGAGGGCGCCTCCTCCTCCCTCTGCCGCCCACAATCCCCGCCTTCTCCTCCCCCCCCCCGCCCCAGCGTCGCTCTTCGGGAACCGGCGATCGGGTCAGAAGGACGGTGGGATCTACCTCGGCGCTGCGGGAGGGAGAGAAGAACCAGTGCTTGGAAACATTTGGGGGGGCGGGGGAGGGAGGGAGAAGGAGATCTAGTTCCCCCCGGGTGGCAGCCACATCTGCAAGGGCGCTGCTGACGGCTCCCCTTAATGGACCACGTAGGGTCAGCCAGATCTTGCCTGGGAAGGAGATGGAGGAGTCTGAGGGTCCACGGCCTGTGGTTTTGGGACAGCAGCTCCCCAGTTTTGGCCTGGGAGAGGTGCTGGTGCTGGTGGGGAGGATAAGATGAAGAGAAGGGCTGCTTGGCCGGATCTGGAACGCGGCTGGTTTTGTTCTTCATCCTGCAAGGGCGGTCAGAGGGTTGCAGAGCCTCTTCTCAGAAAATGGGGAGGGGGTTTTATTTTTTCAGGACAGGTTGGGGGGGCGTACAGGCAAGATGAGGACGCTGCTGCCAGGTTTACCCGGGGGGGGGGGGGGGCATTTTGTGCTAGAGAGAGAAATGAAGGGAAGTGGCAGCAGATTGATTGGCTGGCTGACTGACTGACTGGCGGATGGATTGGAAGTAGGCCAGAAGTAGCATGAAGAGCATGCTCAAATATTTATTTGTTCATTGGAAGTAGGCCAAGATAGCAAGAGAAATAGCATGCTTATTTATTAGGAGGCCAGAAGTAGCACAATTATCTACCTGTCTCTCTATCTGCCTGCCTAACCCTAACCCTGCCTACCTGCTTTTATCTATCCATCCATCCATTTTTCCGTATCTATCTCTCCATCTCCATATCTATCCATCCGTCTTTCCATCTCCATATCTATCTATCTATCCATCCATCCATCCATCTCTCCATATTTGTCAGCCTTCAAGATCTTCCTCCTTTCCTTTGCTTCTTTCTGGCTGTCATGAGTAACGGGGGTGGGGGGGTGGAAGGGGGAAATGTATGGGACGTGAGCTGAAAGTGTTACTAACTGATATTGTATAAACTGGGGAGGGTTTCTAATTCCTGCTTAGCTTTCTCTTCTCTGCGCAACTGCAAACCTTTATCTGAGTAAGCCAAGGTCAACTAATCATCACCACCTGGAGATGTCCACATGATGAAGTTCACAACTTTTAATTGGAAGAACCGTTTGAACTATTGGGGGTGGGAACATTTCACTCCCTTGATATATGTGATGTACGTGCCTATTTCCCCAGATTCAGAATTTTGATAGAATGTGGTAGAATCTTGTTGCTACCACTTAACTCCCAGTAAAAGATATCTTTTCTCTAATTACAAGAGTCTAAGTATTTTCTTCTTGGATTTTGAACGGACCACCAGCTGACAATATCTATCTATCCATCTCTCCATCTCCATATCTCTCCATCCATCCATCCATCCAT